TAATGGAGGCTTATCGAGAACGTTATAAAAAATGTGTCGTTACTGGTTAAATAAATAGAATACTACTTCAAATATGAACATGAGTTATAGTCCATAACTCACTAGTGTGTTATGGATTATAACACACTAGTGTGTTATTTGATAGTTTACTTGTCTAAAATGACATCAATAATAACAGTCATAACTTTCATGTGTTGGATAAAAAAAAAATTCTTCTATTTTTGATAAGCCGTCATTTCGGAAAGGTAAAATGGTAGATTGTAGGGGGAGTCGTTCAGCTTTTCAACCTTTGCAGATATTTTATACGTGACTCTACATCTTAAATTGTCTCCAACAAGCTTAGATTTCTGCCTAAGGAAGCTATTTTTTGGCTATCAGTTAGCCCACTTCTTCTGGTGACAGTGTTGTCCCCTCGAGGAATTTGAGCCTCTTGCAGAATTGGGCTGGACATTCGCACTTTAAGTGATATTTCACCAGGCAGTGTCCTGTGAGTAGTCCTACGAACATTCTGATGTCTGGTCTGCTCATGTTAAGGAGCTGTTCAGCTCTTTTTGCTGAAAGGGTGATAAACCTTTTTGACTATCCTAGTTCCGGAGTGTGCCTCCAATATGATAACAGTTGGTCTTTCTCCCATTTGCTGAGATCTTCCATGATGTGGCTTTTCATTAAGCCACAATAGGGCTCTGGTCTATGGTATGGGGTTGAGGCCCCTTCTTTTGCGAGGCCATCTGCTTCTTCGTTTTCTTTCTATGCATTGGTGACCAGGCAGCCACATCAGTGTTACCTACACCATTTCCAAATCCAAGCGGCAGTAAATGACAAACTGCTGTGGGACCCGATATTCGTTTAAAGTTTGTTTCGACAGGTTCGGAGGTCTCGAATTATGTTAAATTACATTTGTTTTTTCACTATATCGCAAAATTCTCATAAAAATAAAAATGTAACGTTATCCACGCTATTTTGCAAAGACAAAAAAATAAACCTCGCCAGAATCTTGAGCTTGTTCGACGAAGATACAAATTTTAAGGTACAAGCAGGAACCCCTTTCTGTTCCAGAGGCAAGATTTGGAGAGTTATTTTGTCTTAATAAACGACAACTACAGAACTTATACAGTTGATAGGATGTACCAGAGAGAATACTTATTATAGGGCAGTTACTCTAGATAATAGTAGAAAACATGGTGCTATGCTTAGATTATGTACTTTAAGATTTTATGCCATAGGCTCTTATCAGAGATGTATTGCTGAAGAGTTTAATTATTTTGGTATAGCCCAAGTTTACTGTTGAAATTTGAAATAATTCAAATTGAAATTTCAATTACAAAACACAAAACAAATATTTACATAGGTAACCAAAAAAGCGAGATCGCTTTCAATTTTCAAAGTGCGTAATGTTAGCAACAATCGAATAAACTCGATTTCCAACTCGATCGAGTTTCGTGAATAATCCACACGAGTAGATCATCGTTTGACTCGATATAATCGAATCAAACCTCGTGATCCCGATGCTGGTCATTTTCATTACAACCTATCAAATGTCCTCCGCGCATGCGCACTGGTCCAGGTAGGGCATTTCAACCAATAGGAAGGCTGGTGTTGGTTTACAATTTAGGTTATTTTAATGTCATTCACTGCCGCTTGGATTTGGAAATGGTGTAGTTGTGTATCGCTAGTATTTTTAGGGTCTGTTTACACTGCCAGACTAGTCTTGAGGTGCATTTGAAAGCCCTTAAGGCTTTTAAGGCAGCTTGGCTATCTGATAGTATGAAGATGTGTTTTTTTTTTAGGCTTTGGTTGAGACACTCTTTTGCACATATGTTTACGGCAAGCAGTTCCGCTTGAAATATTGTAAGATGTTTGCACAATGCCATGGAGAGCTTAAAGTTGGGGCCGAAAATGCCTAGTCCAGCTCCTTCCGTTAGTTTGGATCCAGGTGTGTACGACAGAGATGTATTGTCTGCTCGTGGTAATTAAAACTCGGAAAACTTGTCTGTTTGGAATAGCCTGTAAGCGCTGATTATTGCCTCCTTTTTCACACATAGGTGAAGTGGAGGCATGTTAAACAGCGTCTCTAGGGCTGCGCTGGGGCAGGTGGATATTGCTCCCATTATTCCTAGGCATATCAGCCTTTGTACCCTGTTTAGCTTCATCTGAGCGGTGACTTGCTGAGTTTTGGGCCACCATACCAATGAAGCGTATGTGACCATGGGCTTTATTATAGTTTGGTAAATCCAGAATACCATCTTTGGCTTTAGCCCCCATGTTTTACCAACCAGTTTTCGGCATGAACAGATGGCTGATATAGCTCTAGAGCATGTTTTCTCCAACTGTTTGTTACAAGTGAGTGTTTGGTCTAGAGGGTGACCCCCAAGTATTTCAGTTCATTGGAAAATGTTAGTGTTGTACCGTGAAGGGTGGGGCTTATAAATTTAGCTTTCTTCTTTTTGTGAACGGGACAAGAATTGTTTGGTTGGGTTTAGGGATAATCTCTCGCCTTCGCTCCATTTTTTAACGATATTTAAAGCACTTTGCATCCGGCTTGTTATTACGCCTTCATCTTTGCCCTTGATTATAATGGCCAGGTCATCTGCATAGCCCATGACCTGGTATCCAGCACTACTCAGTCTGGTAAGGATTTTGTCCACCACTAGTGTCCATAGTAATGGAGAAAAAACACCTCCTTGAGGACACCCTCTGACCGTGGTAGCGGTAGCTGATGGTCCGTTTATTTCAGCCGTAATGTAACGGTGTTTTAGCATCGACTCTCCATTTCACAATAACTGGGACTTCAACGTTCCATTTTTGCAAGACTCTAGCGATTGATTGATGTGAGGTGTTGTCGAAGGCACCCTCTATGTCAATTAATGCTGTGAGAGCGATCTCTTCGTACTCGATTGTCCTTTCAATGTCTTCCACCAGGCAGTGTAAGGCACTTTTTGTGGATTTGCCTGGCTGATAGGCAAATTGCTTTGAGTAGAGCGGTCTTCTCAATAGAGTTTCGCTTCTGATGTACTGGTCAATTGCTTTTTGCATTGTTTTGAGGAGAAAGGAGGTTAGGCATGGGACGGTATGATTTTCCTTCATCCTCAGGTCGACGACCAGTTTTTGGTATTCCTCCAAGATAGCGATATGTGTCCTAGCACCAAGCTTGCTTTGAAAAGTTTCTGTAAGTGTACCTTCAAGTACTCGTAGCCTTTTTGCAGTTGTTCGGGAAAAATCCCGTTTTTGCCTGGAGATTTGTAGGGTCTGAAGCTATCAGTCACCCATTTTATTCTGTTTATTGTGAAGATTTTCCCTGCCAGTGTCTTTTGCTTCTCCCGTTAGGGCTTTGAGACCCTTAGATAGGCGGAGTGACCTGGTTCAGGGCTTCTACTATTACCGACCCTGAAAAGTGAGTTTGTAGCAGTACCTCTAGACTTTCTATATGGTCAGTACAGTGGTCTACGTTTGGCTTTTTTAGCAGACTAATTCCGCTTGAGGGTTTATTGAAAAGACTTTTTGGAGACGTTGAGCTGGAGCTAATTCGTCTATCCCCCAGCAGAACTGTCTCAATTGGCAGGGTAAATAGTAGGAACCTAAAACTTTGAGGATATAATCATAATGAAAATAGCCACCAAGACGTATCATTCTAACCCCTTTCCCATTCGAAATTTTGGGGGTACCTGTCACACCCGCTTAGAGGTTGACAGGTAGGGGGTGAAAATAACAATAAAATGTGTCCCCCAAAAAACAAATATTGACGTCTCCGAGCGATTTTTGTTTAAACACCTAACACCTGAGAAAACCTGGGTGGGAAGTTTTTCCTGCCCACCCTGTATTTATTTGGACGATACTGACAACAATACAATTAGGCAATTCAAACCACGTGACATTCAAGATGGCGTGGCGGCCACACATGGGCCAAAAAACACAAAAAAATATCTAGTTTCTGCCGGAATTAATAGTTCAGGTACCTAAGTCAACAAATATTTTATTAAATAATGAAAATCAAAATTGTAAGCAAAACTGTATGCAAAATAATTTAAAATACGCATAAAAACATATCCAAAACAAACTTGCTTGGCCGCCACGCCACATTGAATTTTCCGTTTTGACAGATGGATTGAATTGCCTAATGGACTAGTTTAGGTTTTGTTTTTCCACATTTCTGTTTTTCTGTTTTTGTTTTCATTTTATAGGTATTTTTCAAGTCTGAATTAAATAGGTTCCATTTTTATATATAAGTTTTAAATGCTTTTTCAATGAACATTAAGTCGGTTTTCGGCAATAAAGCACATTTTGATTTGATTTATTCTTCCTTTATACCACTTCTAATCCATACTTATTCAAAACTGTTTGTACATTAGCCTTATTTGGTGGCAGTTTCTTTTTCTGTGGCTACATGTACCTACATCATTATTAGTCGTTGGTAAAATCACTCTCATTTCCAATGTCTACAATCCTCTTTCTGTCTTCTCAACAATCATAGAAACGATTCCATTTTTTCGAAATGAACATTCGTGTTCTTTGGCGTAGTAGAATTATTCTACATTGGCAAATTTTGGGAATACTGAAACTTTAATAAAAAAAAAAACAAACACTGAATTCAACCTTTCTCAGCTCATCAAGTATTTTAGTTAGTAAAAAATATTTGCTTCAACATTGAAGTTTTTAACTTAAACGTTGATAAAAGGTCTCCAAATTTTTTAATTGAAATGGCTCATACATTATGTAGACTGGCTTTTAGAGTAGATAAAGCAGAAAGGTTCAAATTAACATTTCTCTCCCCCTGTTTTGCAAATAAACGTTTTGTTAAAATTTATAGCTGTTGGCAATTTGAGCAATTATGTTAGAGAAACCAGCCCCAGTAAAATCAGTATTTGCTCACTTCTGTTTACTTTTAATTATATCATAGAAACTAAATAGCGGGACTTCAAGAAGTGCAAAATGCAGTAAACATTTTGCATCTTTCTTTTAAAATATAACTACCTACTAAAATATTTTTGTCTTTTTTTTTTCAGGTTTTGGAGATGGCCTGAATAAAAATTAAATAAAACATTAATGACGGATGGATAGATTATTCCAATATTGCTATATCTTTTTGTTAATTGCATAAGTAATTTTAATTTTAAATATTATTGGTATTTTGTGACAATTTTGAAATTTTTATCTAGTTTGTTTCGAATAGTTATACACTAAAATATAGCCAGCCTTGATATATTTATTGTTCATGATATTTTTTTTTTAAATTTGTTACCTAGTAGATGTATAAAGGTGCCACAAGTCTTTTTAAACTTCTAAATAGCTCGTTTTTTCTTTTATAACTTTACATAGAGACTTGAATTGGCCAAATAAAATAAATCTAGAAAAGAAAAACAAGTCTAGGGTGTATTGTGTCAGAAATGGACACCCTCATACTCGCCCTAATAGCAAAACTAAGTTAAATGTAATAATACTGAAAAAAAAAAAAATACAAAATAAAATTATTGCAAAAGTTATGATCTTAAGATGGAAATTTATTTATAAACAAAAATTGTAATATTAGAACTATATAAAATTTGGAATTTATGGAAAAAAAAATATCTTATTTGTTGAATTAAAATGTATAAAAATGTGTATCTAAATAGTTTTAGAATAATATTCATACAAAATGCTAATAAAAATTAAGAGTAAATATCAATTTATAAGTGGTAGGTACCTGTATGACAATAGACCAATATCAAAAGGTCATTTTACTGTTGTTTTTTTTTATAATAATTATAAATCAAAATACTCAATGTATATCGCGTGCATTTTGACAATAAATGTGTTTAAAAGTACAAAGTAGTTTGATTTTTGTTTTGTTGAATAGGAACAAGTAATCCCCTTTCTGTTTGAAGTGACATGAACGGGTTGTTATATGAAAGATGCAGTAGGCGATATATATTATATCCAATACCAACAAAACAAAAGTTAAGTTTCTAGGAAGTTTGTTGATAAAGTTTCTAGAGACCAATTTCCAGAAGGTTTAATTTTTCAATGTTGTCCATCGAGACTTACTTTCGAGCATCAAATCGGCTTTTATTTATCTAGATTTAGTTAATTTTTAATGGTATTCGATTTTTAGCAATTGTCAAGTATTGAAATCGAAGGGTAAAAATATAAATTTTAAATAAAATATTGTAACTCCTTTAGTTAATGAGTTAACAAAAGGCCCATAATATGCTCGGTTTGCTCAGAGAAAAATTATTAGGAGTGGGTTGATAGTTTATAATCAGTACAGAATGGCAAGGGCGCCACTGAATTAAAAAATAATAATAATAATAATAATAATAATAAAATTGCTCAAAATATGGAAGGGTGAAAATTCAGAAACACACCTATAGTCTGGCAAGTGGTAAGTTGATAGTGACGAAAGGGAGAAGAAAAGTGGGGCGTAACCTAAGAATATTTACTGACACCTCAACTGACACCGCTTGATGACAGTCAAGTCTTTGGGTTCAGTGGCACCGAAAACACCAAGGAAATGAACCAATAAAACTATTAGAATTTTTTTTAAAGTTTCGCCAATAACCACGCCACTATGCTGTCGTTCAGGCTCTAACCTTAGGCTCTAACCAATAGAATCATGCCTCTGAATAATCACTCTAGTATATAATATATAACATAATAATCCACATCCATCATTTCGCAATGTTGCCTGATTTTTTTCTATTTCTAAATACCAGACATGCCATTTAGCAAAAAAAAATATTTCACCAACTGTAACGAAGGTTACTAAATTTTCCGTGCATCCCGGTCATTAAATTAGTTAAAAATTAGCGCGAGTTCAATCAATCGGATTTTATGAGACTCACCCCGGGGTGGAGTAGATTCTGAGAGGGGTTGCAACCCGCTGCAGTTCCCCATGATCGCGTGACCTCGTATTCTCCGCACTGGTAGAGTGGATACGACGCGTACCCACACTCCTTGCGCGCGACCGTCGAAGTCGGTACCAGGATTTTTGGCTATAAATATAGCCGCGCTGCAAGAGAACCGGATTCCGTCTCCGATTCCGCTTCCGACTCCAGCTCCGATCCGACCAGCCGACAGCCAAGGTACGCCGACCTCCGCCGCCGTCTCCGCCGTCTTCAGCCGCCGCGACGCCGTCATCCGCCGCGACGCCGTCAATAATGGTAAAGTAGAGTGAGAGGGCAGGTATTTTCTTCTAAGGGGTATAATGATCGTAGATTGTATAGCTGTCCGGACCGATTACGGGGCTATCTATCCTTTCTATGACGAGGCAAGGGGGGGTCTGTCCGGACCGATTACGGGGGTTCACTCTTGCTTCTATCCTTATATTTCTGACATTTCTTTCTTCTTTCATTGGCATATTTATTGGTGACATGGATTGCACGGGGTTGCTGCCGGACCGATTACGGGGCGCTCTAATCTTTCCATGACGAGCCAAGAGAGCGTCTGTCCGGACCGATTACGGGGTATCTCTCTTGGTTCCATTCCAATACTTATGTCATTCTCTGGACTGAGGATCGAATAGCGTTTCGGCTCTATTCTCTCCGTAGAGGATTGGTGGGGACGTCTCCGACCGAACCGATACCGAGTGACGCACACCCCTCCAATTCTGTCCTTCTCTTTTCTTTAAACCTGCACTCTACTCGGTTGCATAGTTCGCGCATGCGCTTGGAATACGAGCTGAAGGTGGTAGGAGCACGGCAGCCTAGCATCAATAATTCCTTGGAGCTATTTACCGAAACCGTTATTTTTCCGCAATCCTATTGACCAATACCGTTATTTTTCCGCGATCTTATTACCGCGAGTCTCCGCCCCGTACATAGTATTTACACATTCTTCTCACCGACTTCGTTCCACTCTCCCCGCTCTTCGTCTCTCATTTAATTGCATTTTTCACTGTTCCTTTTATCCTATGTTATTGGGCAAATAAAACTTTAATTTATAAGTTGGATTCTGTGTTTCATTTAGAGGATGCGCATATTGACCTCTGGTTTTCCGTCTCCACTGTTTAAAAGTTACCTAGTGCACGTGGGCCCTTAACCACTTTAATCCTAAGGGTGGCGCCCGAGTTTTCCGAAAACCCCGAACCGACCGCTTTTCACCGGAAAACCAAAGTAGCGCTACACAACTTGTTTATTACTGTTTCCTCCAAGTTTGGCAAAGCAGCAAATTCTATTGCAGTTCGCCGTTTGGCCAGACAATAGAAAATAATCAGCAAACGGTGATTGGTAATTCTGAAAAAGAAATAAATAAAGACACCGAGGGGGATTTCATTGTGGTAATTTAGTGTACACAATAGTGGTAATTAGTGGAAATTTCACGGGAAATGAGTGGTAATGACTGGAAATTAGGGGAAATATAGTGGTATTTAGTGGAAATATATGGTAATTAGTGGAAATATAGTGGTAATTCGGGGAAATTTTTGGTAATTTGAGGCAATTTAAGGAAATTTTTGGGGTAATTTAAGGAAATTTTGTGGTAATAACTCGAAGTTCAGTAGTGATAAAATTATGATATGCCTTTGAATTTGCGTTAATTTAGAAGTAACAGAGCTTCAACTAAACTATTCAACTAAGCTTTAAGAAAAATATTCTTCTGAGTCCCTATTAGTCAGTTAGAAACATCAACTTTTATTTTCAAAGGAATGTTTCATTTGAGGTTTCATTACATGAGAAGTGGCAACCTTGCAATAGTTCAACACTTGGTTCGACATAATCTATGAGCGTCGTTTTTACTACTCATTTTGAAACTTTCAAGGCCTCGTTTCATTTAAGGCCCAGTTTTGTGTTTCAGTGTTTCTAAATCTAAAAGAAAAAGTAGAGAGAATTCATTCTTGTTATATTAAGCCCCCATTACACATTCGGCAAATAGCTACAAATATGTGGGTGTTTATGTGTTCTCGTCTCTCTGTTTCTCTAGTTTCAATTTTCTAGATTTTCACCTATCCTAGATGGATGCCAAATACCGAGCCAAATACGCAAATATTTGTGAGGAGCTTTACAGATTTTTTAGGTGTAAGTATTAATTTTGACTGCAAAGGCGTGTAAAATTTCGTATTTTTTCATGTTTTCGTCTTCTAGATGAAATCCGAAATAGAGTCCAAATGTTCTGAAGTCGCTGTTGAACTTGATTCCGAACTCGGTTCCAATCGTTCACGTTTTTGGTGGATTTACATTTCCAAGGATCTTCTCTTTGAGATTTGGCGAGCGGAGCGAGCAATCGGAGACTAGAAAATAATTTAAATATCAAGATCCGATAACTTGGAGTTTGTACTCGTGTTCTTACTAACCACGTTGAAGGTTATTGGTCGTTTTTCAAGCAATAATAGGTAGGTATTTAAGGAGATTAGGAGTAATGCAGTCTCACTTTCTTGTGGATTATATCAACCAATTTATTTGGTCTCAAATTGGTAGGAAATTTTCGTAGTTGATTTTTGAAAGGTGTTCAATTTTGATTGAAATTTTCTGATGGAAAATATGCATTTTGCGCATTAATAGCTTAAACGTTTCTGTTTGATGGAATCTTTCCCAAAAAAAAAATATATATATACAGGGTGTCCCACGAGGTTTGTCCCAAATGATAACTTCGGAACGCATCATCATATGTTCCACTGTATAATTTTTTATCATTTTCTTTAACAAATATGGCATTGCCGATTTTGTAATCTAATTTTCTAACAAAAAAGGCCATAATATACCATGAGTTACATTTAAGATTCGAAAGATGACGTCACTTGATCGAAATTGAAGCGAAACTTGTGAAATTGGACGTAAATGGTAGAAGCGACACAAAAAGTTAAGGCCGAAACCCACTAGCAACACGCCACGCCATGCTACTCCACCCTACGCCATGTGACATAGGTGCACGTGGAACAGTTTGTGTGCAAATTTGTAACACGCCACGTGATGACACGTTCATTTTATTCTATACATTTTATTCAGAAAATTTCTCAGTAGCTTTGAGTACATCATGGAGTATAGTATAGAAGCAGTTCGTCTAGTGACTAGATTTTCTAGATACAGGACAGGACCTAGGTGGTCCGTGACAACCTTTGAAGTGTTCCACGAACTGATACTACAAGACGAATTCTGAAACATTACTGTTTTCAAAATATAAATTTGGATTACTTTTTTTTTTCAATCAAGCAAATAAAATTCGTACTTAAAGTACCCATCTTTGCAATTATTAGTGCTTTAGATTATTCTCTACAATTATTTTCAAAAATAGTAATGACTCACAAATCCGCTCTAGATCACTCTACATTGGAATAATCATATCGAACAAGCCAATTTATCATTGCAGGTTCTTGCTAATGCCCTTAAGAAACTCTGACGAAATAGAATAGAAATGAACACTGTGCTTCAATGGAATGTTTTCAGGCTCAAAATACTCAAAATGAAGGTTTTTGGTCGTGGCAATAGAAAAAAAATCTAACTCCCGCAGCGCCTGTGACGAGCTTCCTCTATCTTTGTATCCTCCTCTCCCTTCTCAAGGTTCCATTCTAGGTAAGCCGCTGCTGGTCCGCGCAAATCCTGATTTGGTAAAATTGGTCCTTGCTACTCTCAAGGTTTGGAGCCACTGTTCTAGAAGAATGAAAAATATGTTGCTGCGGCTCTGATTTTACAGAACAAATAAAAAAATAAGATTCTGGGTGCACAAAATAAACAGGAATCGAGAAAAATATGGTGCTTTTCATGTGTTAATGAGTAGGTGCTATCTTTGATTGGTACTTGTACTATTTCCGACGCGACAAAATATTGCGTCGGGACTGGAAAGGCGGCCAGGGGACATCTACACGTACCACACGTACCAACACGCGTGGGCAGCATCT